GGGGGTCTCGCGGTGGGGGGTCGGGGGGGGGCATGGTGCCAAAGGCCGGTTACTTTCAGTGGGTGAGCCCAGCTTCTGTCCCCCTCCCCCGGCTCCCTCCCCGAGACTGCCCTGCCCCCCTGCTGGCCCCTCCCCTGCCTGCCCTAGGCCTAGACCTCTCCCCTCCCCCAACTTCTTCCCCTCCCCCAGCCCCCTCGGCCCTCCCCCCATTTCCTCCCCTGGCTGGGGCAGGGGCTGGTGGCGGGGTTTGGGAAGCCCATGAGGGGCAGGGTGGGGGGGCAGCTGGAGAGAGATGGAGCCGGCCCAGGCCGAGGGGAGCGCCGGGGGGCAGTGGGATGGGCCCCCCATATCTCTGCCCCCCACATCTCTGCCCCCTTCCTGTTCCAGGCCATGACTAGTTTGGAGAGTGAGGGGGCGGTGGGGGACAACGCCCAGCCGGGCCCCCCCAGCCCAGCTTCCTTTGGGGGCTCAGCCCCCACGACTGACCCCCTGGTGCCCCCAGACGAGGACGTCGCAGGGAGGAACCCTGGGGGCGTCTCGGTGGGACAGGACCGGACCAGCAGCGACCGCCCTGCCCCGGACAGCTCCGACTCCCCCACACCGACAGAGGTGAGGAACGGAACCCAGGCGTCCTGGCGCCCCCCTCCCTCCCCTGCGCCGGGCAGGGGACCCAGGCATCCTGGTGCCCCCCTCCCTCCCCCGCGCCGGGCAGGGAACCCAGGCGTCCTGACCCCGCTCTCCCCCAGGCCGACCCCCTGGACCCCTTCGACCGGGAGCGGCTCTTCGACCTGCTCTTCCGCTCCCAGAGCCGGCGGCTGAATGAGCAGCGCTGTGTCCTGCCCGGCCTGCGGGGGGCGCCCCGCCACGACCCCGCCCGGCCCTGGCGCTCGCTGCCCGGGACCCCCACCGAGGGCCTGCTGGGGGGAGCAGGTAAGAGACGCGGCCCCTGTCCTGTGCCCCAACATCTCCTGACCCCTCCCCTGACTCCCTGCCCCCCAACCCCTCGCCTGGCCCCAGCCCCTGCCCCTGCCCCCAAACCTTCCCCTCTGCCCCTGAATCCCTCCCCCTTCCCCTCTGCCCCACAACCCCTCTCCTCTGCCCCAGCCCCCTCTTCTCTGTCGCCCTGACCCAACCCTTCCTTCAATCCCTCTGCACGCCCCATGGCCCCCATCCCCTTCCCCCCTCACCCTTTGCCCCTCTCAGCTCCCCCCATCCAGCCCCTCCATTCCCAGCCTTCTTCCTCTTACCCCCATCACCTCCATCCCTCTGCCAGCCATGGGGGGGAGGGTGCAGTCTGGCAGGGGGGTGCAGCCGGGGGGGGTGCAGCTATGGGGTGCAGTGGGGGGTGAAGTGGGGGTGCAGCTGGGGTGGGGTGTAGCAGGGGTAGAGCTGGGGGGGCACCGTCCAGCCCTGTCTAACCCCCCCAACCCCCCAGGGAAGTTCTGCTCGCTCACCTCGCTGCAGGCCGAGCAGTTCTTCGAGCTGGTGGCCACGGCCCAGGCCCGGCGGCTGGACGACCAGCGGGCTGACTTCGCGGGGGACCCCGGGGCCGAGGAGGGGGCTGAAGAGGGGGCTGAAGAGGGGGCCAAGGGGCCTCCGGAGCCCCCCGACCAGGGGGAGGAGTTGTACAGCACCATCCTCACCCACCAGGTAAGAGGTGGTCCCCCGGAACCCCCACCCCCGAGTCCTGCCTGACCCCCCCAGTCCCCGAGACCCCCACCCCATAACCCCTCCCTCCAGACCCCGCGAGATCATAGAATCTCAGGGTTGGAAGGGACCTCAGGAGGTATCTAGTCCAACCCCCTGCTCAAAGCAGGACCAATCCCCAACTAAATCATCCCAGCCAGGGCTTTGTCAAGCCGGGCCTTAAAAACCTCCAAGGAAGGAGATTCCACAACCTCCCTAGGTAACGCATTCCAGTGCTTCACCACCCTCCTAGTGAAATAGTGTTTCCTAATATCCAACCTAGACCTCCCCCACTGCAACTTAGAGACCATTGCTCCTTGTTCTGTCATCTGCCACCACTGAGAACAGTCTAGATCCATCCTCTTTGGAACCCCCCTTCAGGTAGTTGAAAGCTGCTATCAAATCCCCCTTCATTCT